GGGAAGGGGACAGATAAATGAGCTCAAAAGGGTATAGTTCCAAGGGATCAGTGGATGACCAGTTACCTTTTATAAATATAATGTAATGAAAAACAGAAAGTGGAACTGTTTGATATAAGTAGGATAGGAATTCAGAAAGCAAATAAGCCTGAGGACCAAGAAAAAAAAAAAGGCACCATTGCACCTCAAAAAAAAACCAAAACCTGAGGACCAGCTGGAATAGAGCATGTAGATAGGCTCTGAAAAATCTAAGGTATTACATAAATGTCAGCTATTGCTATTACACAAGCTACATGCTATTCTTAGGATTTCTTCAAATGCTGCCACCATACTGCTGATAAAGGGTTCTCCAACGGAGTTCTTTTTTAATTTGTTCTTTTTTAAAATTCTGAAGTAAAACCATGGTTTTTGTTTCAGATAATTTTTTATAAAAATGGTGTCAATCAAGGTGTGGCTTACAAAGACATTTTTGAGGGGGTTTACTTTCCGGCCATCTCGCTGTACAAGAGCTGCACGGTACGTATCGTCTGTTCATCCTGTGAACACAACCTGAGGGAAATAGGTGGACGGTTGTGGTGAAAGAGCCACTGATGGGATTCTAGAGAGAAATGTGAAAGGCCTAGGAGTGGGATGGGAGCATATTCCTACTGTTACTGCTTGTTCCAAAAACATGTGGGTCCTCCACGAAGTATTTGCTTGGACAGGTAAAGATCATGCAGTTATTGTAAAGCCCCATACCTTTCCTTTGGATGTACTGTGTGGTCACTGTTGTTCAGTATAAAGGATATAAAGTATTTACACGCATAAATCAATTTGGTGTTATGTGTCGTGATAACCTACCATCATTAGTAACTGTTGCTTATAGTGATTTTTAAAAAAAATATGATCCAGCATGAAGGGACTATCATTAGAGCCTACCAGCTAAAGAAACCAAATTATTTGAAAAGGCAATGCCTGGAAGTTTCCAGGTCCTCTTACTCTGTCAGTAGCCCCCATTGAAGTAATATAAGGAAATCTTTAGGTTATAAACAGAAATCAGCACAAGTTTATTTTATTTACCTAATTCCTGATGGCTATTATAGGGTATTGACCACCTTTAGCAGTATTAACGTATATCATTTGTTTCAGTTATACCGTGAATATCACAGCTGCATTTAAAGCGAGAAATTTCCCATGTCACATTAAGGTTTTCACTACTTTCTTCTTTTGTTTCTTCATGTCTGCTTGGATTGAATTTATCCCAGGTCTCCATTAACTTTGGACCATGCTTCAAGTATCCTCCAAAGGATCTCATGTACCGCCCTGTGAGTAACGTTGAACATGTCTGCGTGCGTCCTCAGTCTTCTTGCTGCGGTTACTCCAGTCTCACCTCACCTATCTGTTCCTTGTTCCTCCCACAGATGAGTGACATGGGCTGGGGCGCCGTGGTGGAACACACTCTGGCTGACGTCTTGTATCACGTGGAAACAGAAGTGGATGGGAGGCGGAGTCCCCCGTGGGAACCCTGACCAAGTCCCTTTTTCTTTGCAGACACGGACTTCCTGGGGAATAATATGAGCGGGTTTTGTTTTTTAACTGTGACAAATGTTTTCCTGAAGATACTGCAGAACGTGGCCTCTGCTGTAGCAAATTAGAGGCCGGGTGGGTCTGAGAGAGACTCCTTGCCCTTCAGCACTGTCCCTTCTATCACGGCTTTTACTTCGTGTGCCATTCCCAACAGCTGCCGACCTGGGATCCCATAAGCGCCCTGTGAACTGGGCCTGTGCCATGTACCCCACCAGCTAGACTTGCTGCTTACTGTGTTTTCTAAGGAATGGGTAACCTTGCCCAAGTAGCTAACATGTTTAAAGACATGTCCTTCTGCGGGCATTGCCTCCATCCCACCTGGTTCCCAAGGAAGTGGTGGGCCTGTTTCTGAGAACAGCTGAAATCCATGGCTGTACATTCCAAATCAGTCTAACAGCTCTTCCCTTTCACCGTGGGTGTGTTTTTGTTATTAATTTTGAGGTGTACCTTCAAACACCGGGATCTATAGTAGAACTATACTTGTGAAGGGAACTTGCTTGCAGCTTTAACAATTAGAAACTCTTCCCAAATAAAACTTGTCTTCGAGTGTGTGTGGCACTTTGCTTCCCTTTCAGGTTGGGGTCCATGTGGCGACAGTGTCGGAACAATAAGGCACTCTGAGGAAGGGGAGCCAGCCTTGGAGGAGAGACAGGTTTCTATCTCCACCCTCCCCCGTTGCTTCGTTCCCTCCAGCCAATTTGACCACCCCCTCTTATCCTGTGAAACCCCTCTCAAGAAGGTGAACAGGGGACACTTCCCTGGGGGTCCAATGGCTAAGGCTCCGTGCTTCCAATGTAGGAGGCCCAGATTCAATCCCTAGTCAGGGAACTAGATCCTACATGCCGCAACTAAAGATCCCGTGTGCCACAGCTGAGACCCGGCACAGCCAAATAAATATTATAAAATAAATTTATTTATTTATTTATTTTTGGCTGCGTTGGGTCTTCGTTGCTGCACGTGGGCTTCCTCTAGTTGCAGCGAGCGGGGGCTACTCTTCATTGCAGTGTGTGGGCTTCTCGTTGCGGTGGCTTCTCTTGTTTCGGAGCATAGGCTCTAGGTGCGCGGGCTCTAGACCGCAGGCTCAGTAGTGGCGCACGGGCTTAGTTGCTCCGAGGCATGTGGGATCTTCCTGGACCAGGGCTCGAACCCGTGTCTCCTGCATTGGCTGGCGGATTCTTAACCATTGCGCCACCAGGGAAGTCCTAAATAAATATTTTTTTAAAAAAAAGGTGAACAGGAACTTAAAAGGATAAATGGTCTCCCTCCAGCTCTTCCCTTTGAACTTGTGTGTTGATCTGTGCAGGTTATGTTCCTGCCTTGCTTATCTTCCTTTGTAATACCTGATGATTAAAGGACAGTTTTCAGAAGACTAAAAACTGGAATGTAAGAATGAGCCTTCCCTGGGGGTCCCTAAGTGCTTCCCTGTCCTCCTTTTAATCAGTGGCAGTGCAGTCCTCCCAGGATTGCTCCAGACTTCCCTGTGTGTAACTTCCTACCTAAGTTAATAGAGTGGTTCACCAAGAGTCTGGTAATATGTTGCCAAGGATCCCTATATATTATGCCTGTTTAATTTCCCAAATTTCAAGTGACTGTTGGTATCTTAACACAGAAGCTTTGACTAATGTATTTGTCTCCTAATGAATCACCCAGACCCAGGGTCTTTGTTTCGGTCATTCCACCTCTCTTAACAGGAAACCCAGCAGAATCAGGCTGAGGTCTATTCATTCGTGGTCTTATGGAGCAGACTTGGTTATAAAGCTTCTGGATCATCAGGGTTTGAAGAACTCTAAGTAAACGAGGATGGTGTTATCTAGAGGAAGCTGGAGATGAATTCTTTGTAGCATGAATTACCACACATGTAAGTTGTGCACCCACTCTCCATTTAAATGATCAAATTAGGGTTTTGTGCATTTCGCTTTCATACATTGGAGGTTACAGAAATAATGATTTTTGCCTGTTTATACTGCATATTCTGTGTGTGTGTGTTGATTAGATTCATTTGAAGGGCTCAAAGAATACCCACTCTTATAGTCCTATATGAAATGGTTTCTGTAAGCAGATCATCACTGACAATTCATTTTATTCCAGTGTAAAATTAAACAAGTGAGAAAATACCTCCCCAGGTACCTCAAAGACACAGTTGCATAGTTTGAAAAAGGCAAATTATAATCAAACTCAAAACCATGGTGTGTGTTGAAAGCCCATTTCTTTACTGTCAGCCTGTTCTCTTGAAACCGGAGCGTATGTTGCTCTACACATCTTTCAACAAGTAACCCTTTCTCTTAGCTGGGAGTGGATGATAATTCTGTTCTAGAAACACTTTTACAATTATCCCATCTCACTCTGAAGCTCCTGGCTGGATAAACATAATTTCATCTATGCCTAAAATAGACTACTAAGAAACAATCAGAATAAATATTAATAAATATCTCTGTCAGTTGTAACTTCTCAACACCTCAATAAATTATAACAGCATTCCTGCTACTGCTCATTTGTTTAATAAATAAGCTAGAACTCTAATTTCAAATGGTGTAAATCATCAATGCTGTTAGCACTGGAATGGAAAAGCTTCAAGTGATAATGGTTAGGTTTTCATCCTACTTATACGTTTTAGCCAGATAACCCCATCTCAACTTACATTTTTTAAGCACCAATTCTCTGAATCTTGGAAAGGGATTTTGCTGTCACCCTATCACCCCTTCTTCCAGCCATCTCCTCCAAAACAGTAAAACATTGACCTGTTAAAGCAGAGAAATTGGCAGCCCCGAGTCAAGCCAAGAGGAAATGTAATAGACTCCAGACTAAAGATTCAGCTCCCTTTTTAGGTCTAAACAATCACTAATGGGAAAGTAATAAAATTTGCTTTTGTTTGATTTTATCTTAGTAATACCATTCTGTCACTTGCCTTTGGTTCTATCCTTTTAATTAGGTAAATAAAAGTCTTCAGTCATAATCTTCATCTTCCAATGCCCGTTAATCAGCTACCAGCTATAGAGTTCTTTTAAGAACTGATTTAGTCTTGTGCTTATCGTGTAAATTAAATTTTTATGAAAGATTCCGGTAACAGATCCTACATAATTAATGACCTAAGTCCCCTGGAGTTTTTCCTTTGAGTGAGGTAGGGGACTTAGTTTAACTAATTAAAGTCTTCATCCATGACTCCTTTAGTATGAAGTTGCAATTTACTAGCATGGATTTTAAGAGTAGAATTTTAAAACAGGTACAGACTAAAGTTTTTGTGTTAGTTATGATTCTTTATTCTGACTACTGCTCATGGAAGAAGTAGGGGAATCAGTCTGATAATTAGTTTTGTATTTTTTCATTAAGATAACTTGAACTAGACTTCTGGACGGTGTCCGCTGTGGGAGTTGCTTGTTCTTTGGCGCAGTTCTCTGCCGTCTTGGTGGAGGAGCAGAGGCTTTCAGGAGGCTCTGTGTAAGACCTGCTCTGTCTGCACACATTGCCCACAGGGAACGGAGCTCTTGAGCTCATCAAACGTGCGGTCCTAATCCTGGTATTTTGCACCCTCTGCACCCTGCATTCGTTAACTGGTAGCATTTTAAAGATGTTTCTAGGTAGACAAGTAAGGACCCAGAAAAATATTTTTACAAATATTTTGGGACCCCTGTGCTTCATTTTACAGCTAATCAGTGAATGAAGTTAAAAGAGCCTTGTCCCCACTTTCTTGGTACTAAAATGTTACCCATCTGAGTTCTAGTATCATACTGGACACGCACCACCATCCCATCCCTGTCCCTGGATGAAGATCTTTAACAGACTTGTAGGCTTCCAGCAGAGACCTCCTCGTGAGCCTGCAAGCGCGCTCAGCTGGGAGCCGTTGGCAGCAGCAGGCTGGTCTTCAACACCTGGCTTCCAGAGCAGGGCGGGACTCCAGGCGCTTGCGCAGGTGGTTGGCAAAGTCCACCTGGATCTGCGAGAGGACCTGGTTGATGATAGTCTTTGGCAGCCATCCCTAGAGTTGAAGTTAGAAGAATTTGGCCATCTTGTGGGTGACATTCCACTCTGTAGACACTGCTGCGCCCGATCACACACCTGGTGGGTTGCCTAGGCTTGGCCTTCTAGCTCTGTTGGTCCGTGCCCCCGTTCAGTTGATCAGGGTCAGGGACTGGAGGACTGCATTACTGCCCTGCTGTCATGACCTTGTCAGAAGCGCTGGATTTGCTGTCCAGGCAGATTTCAGCCCTGTCTTCCCAGTGGTGTGACCCTGAGCTAGCTACCGTACCTTCTTGGGCCTAAGTTTCCTTGTTTCTAAAAATAACTACAGAACTGAAATTTGATATGAGAAGTAAGAGGGAGCCAGTGCAGGCTTCTGAGATGATGGAATAGCAGTTAGGCCATCACTCCAGTGTCCCCTCTGCAACGGTCCAGTTCCCTCACAATGGAGGCTCTTTCCAGTTGTGTGCGGGATGATGTGGGAGCAGTAAGAGCCTACTTTGCTCACCACTGCCTGTCCCGAGCACCCCCCACCCCGCCCCTTACCTTGAGGTCAATGTTGAGCAGCCAGGTGAGTTTGGTCTTTGAGGGGCTTCCAGCCAGGGGATGGAGCACCATGCAGGTGGGGCCGTGCTCAGCTCTGCCGGGTGAAGACACGTCAGGTCAGGGGGACAAGGCCGAGTTCTCAAACGCTGACTAGTCTTCCCAGATCTCATCAGAGAAGTGTCCTTTGCCAAGGGTGACATTTAACAGTTGGCACGGTTACCAGCTCATCAGAACAAATGCTGACTGGAGCTGGAGCTGAAGCCTGGAGGCCTCCTGCGGTGCCTTTTAGTCGCTGGATGATGGGGAGGTCAAAGAAGGGTCCAGGGTGGTGCTGGTGCCCCTGGGAAACTCAGGTAGCAACTGTTCCAAGTGGTATGGGTTCTGTTTTAATCAGCATTACAGTGGGACCTGAGCATACCAGCTAAACCTCAGCCCTACTTTTTTTTTTTTTTTAATCTGTATTGGGGTATAATTGCCTTACATTGTTGTGTTACTTTCTGCTGTATCACAAAGTGAATCAGCTCTATGTATACTTATGTCCCCATATCCCCTCCCTCTTGCATCTCCCTCCCACCCTCCCTATCCCACCCCTCTAACTGGTCACAGAGCACCGAACTGATCTCCCTGTGCTATGCGGCTGCTTCCCACTAGCTATCTATTTTACATTTGGTAGTGTATGTATGTCCATGCCACTCTCTCACTTTGTCCCATCAGCCCTACTTCTTGTTTTAGAAAATTACTAAGGTTCTTAAACTTGCCGGGAGGGTCAGGACAAACTGGTTATGTAAGTGTGGCCAGTCTTGTCTTTCCCGCACTGCGATGGAAAATGAGACTTCCTCTGTGAAAGGTAGCTGAGGGTAGGAACCAAGGATTGTGGTTTCTTAGAGCTGGGGATGTATCACACACTTGGCAGGTGCATGTCCCCAGCCTGTGTTAAAAAAGGGAGCTTTTGAGGCTGTTGCCAGTGTTACCTGATGACGCCCTTCTGCTCGGGCATCTCCCCGTAGTGTGTGGCCATGCCAGCCAGCACACACACAGAGCCCCGGCGCTTGGTACAGCGCACACTCACGAAGTCTCGGGGCCCCACAAGGTTTCCTGCCGCCTCTGCGGCCAACTCGTGAGTGATGACTGTGTCTTTTCCAATCTTCTGCAGGACCTGCCAGGCCACAGAGAACCAGAGTCACTACTCAGCCAGGTGGGGGGCTGAGGCACACCGCAGCTCACAGCCCCCTCCCGACTGCTGTGGCCATCCTTCTGCCTGGGCCTCCCCACCTTGATCTCCTTGACATTCGGGTTCCACTCGCCCATGGCCTCCATGTGCTCCACGAGCTCTTCGTAAAGCCTCTCCACGGGCTGGTCCACTACCACCTCCAGCCGGAACACCTTGCCCACGTCTGGGATCACTTTACTCAACACTTCGTCCCCATTCGCCTATCGGCAGGGAAGAGAGGAGCCCCAAGGGAAAGGTTAGAAAAAAATATTCCCGGCCTAGGACACGTAGACAGTGCCAGGCAAGGCAGGAGGGGAACAGCCAGGGGAACTCTAGGCTAAGCCTGAGTAAGCCTGGAACCATCTCTGATTAAGGTAGAAGAGGTCCTCTTTCCTGCTGCCTGCCTCGTACATCTGCTGAGGACTGGGGAGGTGACCGGCCTGTTCCCGGGTGTAAATGTTGATGGGTGTGGGTAAGGGCCACCTGAGAAGGCCCTTACTTGACTTCAGAAGCTCAAAGATCCTGAGAGAGACGCATCTGGGAGCAGGGAAGGTGGTTTACAACCAGCTAATTTCACACATAGGTTTATTTTAAAAGTCCAATCCCTCATTTTACACCAGAGGGATGTAGGGCCAGAGAAGGTCAGTGAGATGCCCCAGGACCCTTAGCTAAGAGCATTGCTGGGCCTAGATCCCAGATTTCCCAACTCGCAAACTTGTAGTCTGTTAACTCTGAGAACTTGGAGAAGGAAAGATCTCACCTGAACTTTGGCCAATGGGCAGCATGTGAGCTTTTGGTGAAGATAAAGCGGCCAAAGTCTCGGTAGAGCCGTTGGCCTTTAACACACGCCTTGTTCCCAGCTCCCAGTGAAGGGCCAGTGCTCAGGAGCGGAGCGCCCCAGAGGGCCTTGGGCCACCTGTATCCCACTCCAGCCCTGTTGCGGGTGAGCCCAGGTCACCCCTGCGAGGTCAGCCATAAGGCGGGCTAACAGCACAGACACTGTGCTTCAGCATTGGAACTTCTGACCCAGGGGGATGAGGCCTGTGCTGCCCCTGGAGTCCCTGTTTTGCATGGTCTGAATGGGTGTACAGTGCATTTGGAGGGGAGCTAGGGATACGGGAAAAACGTTTCTCAAACGCAGTCTCCAGGACATCTTTGTTGGGGGAGAGGGGTATCTGGGGATATATTCTTGGGAAAGGAGAATTCTCAAAAATGCTTGCTACCCAGTGACTGTTACACAAGGCCGGACTTCTGAGAGGAGCAGAGACCCCAGCTGGCCTCGAGCATGGCCCGTGAAGAGCGAGGAGCTGTGGGTTCCTCCGCACCCGCCCTTACCTGCTGGCTCTCCTTCTTCCAGCCCTCCTGGTCACTGAGGATGCCTAGGGCCCTCTGCATGGCCTCCTCTCCCTGCTGGATATAGGCCAGTTCTTGGTTGCTGTAGAGAGTGTCTTCCAGCTGAGAACCTGGACACAAAGCCACGGAGAGACTGAGCTTCCTAGCCTCCCACGAGCTTTCACCCCTTTCATCTCTGAAGAGCCCAGACCAAAGCCATATGGTCCAGCCTGCAGGTTAAGTTAGACACAGGGGACAGGGAGGGGGGTCTAGCAATGAACAATGCCATTCCCATCAAAGTGAGTGAGGACGCCTGGGGGATGCGGGGGAAGGGACCAGAGCTACATGCACATTGTTTGCCCGCCCCCCCGGAGCCCCCCGCCGCTGGTAAAAGCCCCAGAAGCCTCAGCACTTACCGAGCAGAGAGCCGCGACGCCGAACCTGGTTAATCCAGGCAGCTGGGGTCGGGCCCCCCGGGGCCCTGCGGTTCAGCTCCTGGCCGATGGCCAGCACAGCCTGGTGCCTCAGCCCTGCAGGGAAGGGAGGGAAACTGTCGCTTAGGAGCAGAAAAGCCCCTCAGAGAATGTTCCACCCCTTCATCTCATCACAGAGGAGGAAGCTGGTCTGGGGCAGAAAGTGACTTGATGAGGAATACCTCCAGGGCCAGAAACCTGCCTGCCTTCTGGGCTGGCCAGGCCTGGAGGCAGGGCCACACTCAAGCTTGCTGAAGTTCCTTCTTGAAAGGGAGAGAAGCTTTGAACAACCTATTCTGCTACAGAAGGGGAATTACAGACACCCGTCCCGGAGGTCTGTGTGGCCTCTGCGTGAGTAACTGCTCTGTGTGCCCGGGGGTTCCCGCTGCTCTAGAGAGAACAGCCCCACGCCGGGTACAGGTCTTCCAAGTGCGGCTTCCATCTAAACAGTGGCCACCTGAACCCAATGTAATTAGAAAGGACTTGCTTAGGTTTGTCTGTGGTCCCTTCAGTGACCCTGGTTTCCGCCTCCTGACTGATGACAGCGAGACTCCCCACCTCACCCACCTTCCCTCTCTATGTGCTCCTCGGCTGTCTTACTCCCCTTTCTTGTCCTTCGCCCCGTCTCCCGCCTGCCCTGCCTCAGGCTTGCCAACACAGCTTCCTGGAGTCCAGGCTGACTCCTGCCTCTGCCACCACAGCTCGGACTTCCCTGGCACCCTTGGTACCTATCCTAGAGACAGGCAGAGTCAGGAAGAAGCCAAGACAGCTCGGAGCCCTGGAGGGGAGGCCGGGGATGACAGAGTCTGCAAGGCACCCAGGAACCTTCGTATCCAGCTGCGTTCTTCAGCGCGGGGGACACTGAGGTACGGGAGGGGAAAGGCTTGCACAGGCTCCCCCAGTGAGCAGCACCCCTGGGACCTGAGTGGCCTGTCCCCCCAGGCCCACACCTTCCCCACTAGACACTGCCTGCGGGCTCCTGGTCAGCCGGACAGGGGGGCCCCAGGAGCTCACCCTTCATGTTGCGCACGTGTCGGTAGGAGCTCCCGGCGCACAGCTTAAACGTGGCGAGGAGCATGGTTCCTTGGCGGTGGGGCAGGCGTGGAGGCTGGTGGTGGTGCTCTTGGCTCCTCTCCTGGGCCGTCAGGGTTGGCCTCTGGGTCCTGCAGCCGCGGCTGGACCGTGCGTCCTGCGCCTTAAATGCCTCCAGCTGAAGGCTGTGTTTCATCATCAGGAGATAAAAAAGTCATCACTCATCGTGTAAAGGAAGGCACCAAGGATAGAAGGATTGCCTCACAAGGAGCCTTTGGCCGTTTGTGGGGAGTGCGGGCGGGGGTGGGGGAAGGGCTCGGGAGGCTGGTGCCTGACCAGGCTGGATGGAGGGGAGAGAAAAAAAGGAGCAGCAGAGATCAAGGCAATTTAGAAAAAAGTATGCACATGTGACAGTGGTTCTCAAGCAGCAAGCTGTTTAAAATGCAGCTTTGTAGCCCTCATGCTCAGAAATTCCAGATTTAACAAGTCTAGAATTGAGGCTATGAAACCTGTATTTAAAAAAAATTTTCCCAGGTGATGGCCATGAAGGTATTCTGTGAACTGTACACTAGGCTTTGAGAAGCTCTGCCCTGGGATAGCACCCAGGGCTTCTGATAGGGTACAGGCAGGCAGAGCTGGCAGAGGCCACCCAGCCCCAGCATGAGGGGCCCGAAGCCTCGGGAGGAACGGCACTCCCCCCCCGCCCCGGTTCTGCAAGAATCGAGTCATTGCCCCTGCAGTCGCTGACCTACAGGACACCCTGAAAGGACTTCAGGAAGGTGATCAGGATGCGGCACACTGTGCTCTGGGGAGACAGGCAAGTGAGCCCTTAGACAGTTACCAATCTTACAATGCTTTAGAAAGTTCTTATGAATCTGGATTCTTACATCTTCTCATACTTAGAAAAGCACTAAAGTCATGAACGGAGAAACCCGTTGCTTGTGACCAGGAGCAACCTTCTACCAAACTGTGTGCTTGAGTGCAGGTACCCTTCCCCTAAATCACACGTAAGCCGGCGTCCCCTGTACCTCTCCCTCTTTAGAGCAGTTCCTCAGAGCTATCTGTGAGGGTTTCCCAGGCTATAGTCCTCAGTAAGTCCCCCAATAGAACTGAAACTCACAGCTCTCTTGTTGTATGTTTTCCTTCAGTCGACAGTTTTGCTGACCGTGAAGGAGCACAGAGCTAACTTCTCTCCTCTGTCTGAACACTATGAGGATTCAGAACCTTGGTAGCAGCAAGGGCCTTTTATTCCCATCCACCTCCTCAGCGAGTCCAGATGAATTTGGGTGAGTTTCTCCTGGTTCTCAGATCTCCCAATAATCGGTTGATAATCCTGAGTTTTATTTGGTGGTGTATAACAGGTACCTGACGCCCAGTTGAAAGATACTGGGGGAGTGCCCCCCCCCCCGCCCAGTTCTGCCTCCAGAAAGACACTGAATGGTCTGGACTGAGTGACTAGGTGTGAGGCTGGCCAAATGTCTTTCCTCAATTAGGCCAACTAAGGGGTGTCAGAAAGCCAAGCTCTGACCAACACCCCAGCCAGATTGATGTAAAATACATATGGAACTTACCTTACAAGTACTTACTTAATTGGGAACTAACCACTGAACTGGGTAAGAAATTAAAAAATTCTAGTGGAAACCCTGATGGCTTAATAAAACTGTTAAAGGATCAAGATCAAGGATTAGTTACAGGGCTTCCCTGGTGGCGCAGTGGTTAAGAATCCGCCTGCCAATTCAGGGGACACAGGTTTGAGCCCTGGTCCGGGAAGATCCCACATGCCGCAGAGCAACTAAGCCCGTCTGCCACAACTACTGAGCCTGCGTGTCACAACTACTGAAGCCCGCATGCCTAGAGCCCGTGCTCCGCAACAAGAGAAGCCACCGCAATGAGAAGCCTGCGCACCACAACGAAGAGTAGCCCCCGCTCGCCGCAACGAGAGAAAGCCGGTGCACAGCAACGAAGACCCAATGCAGCCAAAAGTAAATAAATAAATAAATTTATTAAAAAAATTAGTTACATATGACTGATAACTGATGAATATGGTTATAATTTTTATGACTTTTTGTCAGAAGTATTACTGGCTTTTAATCTTTGTTTTCTAGGTATAAGGAAACCTTAAGCTAAGTATGACTTATAGCAGCTTGGTAAATTAGACCTTTGTAAGCAGAACTGAAACATTTATCTTTTCTTTCTACTTGATCCCTCCAGAAAGTGGAAACTTTCAGGTTCCCAGTAGCCTTATCAGGTGAATAAGGAAGGTCAACTCCTGGCAGGTGCAAGAATGTCAAGGTATTTTGGAGACCTTGAGAAGAGAGGAATTCACCCAAATCTATAGTTATTGTGGCGGAATCTAATGGCAAGCCCTTGGCATGGCTTTCCTGGCTCAACTTGAGAGGCCTTTTAAAAGTTCAATCTGAAATTCCTTATGAAAATTTCCAGGAAAAACAATTTAAAAGAGCCTATATAATCAATTACACATTATGTAAATAATCAGGCCAAGTTTATTTTGCAAACAAATTAGCCTTAATTGGGCTATATTTGGTAGAAATGAAGGTGATTTTAGAGAAAAAAAAAGTTCTAGTGGATATTAAGTTCTAATGTTGTCAATTGTCTTCCAAGTTTGTACTTACTGCCCAGGGCTCACTTCTTTTGTTGGCTCCTTGTTACATTATTGTGAAGTTTAATTGAATTATTAAAAGGACATTGTAAGTTTGTTTCTGGAGCTTATCACAGTAATCCTTGGATGAAGATCAGATGCCTCATGACCTGTAACAAGATTACATATACTAGAAAATATATCATTTAAAGGATTTTCTCCAACCTATATAGAAGGACCCTCCAATGAAAATAATGACAACTAGGCGACTTGATTAACCAGATAAATAGTTCTACATAAGATCAATGATTGTAATAGTGTAACCCTAGATATGGGAAGAAGCAGTAAGAGGGAAACTATTCCTGTAGTTTCCAGTAAGAGAGAAACTATAACAGACTAGTAAGACTATTATGGGCCTAGTTCAGTAACAGCACATTGAGTGGCCTATATCAGCGAAATCCTCACCAGACCTAAGAATGAGCCTTCCTAGCGCCATGGGACAAATTGGTCATGAAATGCCTCCTAAACCTTGGTCAAAACTATGACCAAGGGGAGGGTACTGCCAACTGAGGAATGTTGCCCACCATCCAGTTCTACAGCCCCTGCAGTTGCTGACCTATAGTTACCCCTAAAAGGACTTCAGGGCGAAGACCGTGCTCTGGGAAAACTGGCAGAACTGGCCCTCAGGTAGTTAGAGATTTTCAGGAGAAAACTTTTGTGAACCCGGACTCTTGCATCTTCCCTTACTTAATAAAGCACTAAAATCATTAAATGAGATACCTGTTCCTTGTGACTAGCGGCAACCTTCTCCTGAGACGTGCTTGGTTGCACATACCCTCTTCACGTAACTCCCACATGCTTCAGAGCAGTTCCTCAGAGCTGGGAGGCTGGCTCCTGGGCTACAGTCCTTGGTAAGTCTCCACACAAAACTGAAAAGTCACAGCTCTCACATTGTGCATTTCAACTGCGGTGGAAATGAGCTGTTCAAGGTCACACAGCTGGTCGGTGGCAGGTCTGGGACGACAACCTTCAGCCCATCTTTTCACGGCTCCTCCTGCAGCCCCCCAACACTATGTGTGTTCAGCTGTTCAATTACTGATGCATCCGTTTCTATCAACAGCCTTTACCAAAGCCCTGTTTAGGGTCAGTTCCCGTCTCAGGGGTTAGTTCTGGAGCAAGGATGACACCTCAGGGCTGAGTCCTGTCAGCTCACAGAGCAGAAGGGAGAACGGGGCCGGAGACACAAAGAGAAGGGGCCTGGGCCTGGCCATGCCCCACGCCCTTCTTCACGCTTTCCTGAGTAACCTAGGCTGGCCAGGCTGTGCCATAGGGCCTGGCATGAGCTGAAAGGTTCAAAAGACAGGGTATTGAGGTGCCCAGCCCAGTCTGTCCACTTTGGGGGGCCCTGTGGTCTGAACGGGGACTCGCGAGAGGCCCAGTCTCTCCTCTGCAGTTCCCACGCTCCAGTCCAGGCCCAGTGAGGGGGATCTCATTCCAGTCTGCATGCTGGTCTCCAATGACATCTTTTCCTCTTAAGGTTGACCTTGAGGTTGCTTCTGAGCTGGATTCACCTGGCAAGAAGGTCGGGGGTCGAGAGAATCACATTGAATTTGGCCCTGGGCCTGGGCCTGCCCCCCAGGTGAGAGAGTTCTGTGTCCTGTCACCGCTGCACGGAGATGGAGGGAAGGGCCCCCACCAGCTCTTGCTGTCCCCCTCACTCTAGAAAGGACGAAACGGACAGGACCTGCCTGGAGCCAGGCCGAGTGCCTAGTGTCCAGAGGAACAGGTGAGTCCCACACGCCCCCTTCAGGCCGTGCTGGCACAGTGGGATGCGGCCAGTGACCCGGAGAAACGCCTGTCCCGGTCTCCGCTCAGAGCAGTGGCTGCCTGGCGGCCCGGCCCGCCCTCCAGGGCCCCCACGCCTGCCGCCCGCATGAGCTGTGAGGCCTTAACCACCCAGCCTTCTGAAACTGGCTTGTCCCTTACTGTGGGTCCCCCTAGGGGGGCTGTCTCGGTCCTGATTTGTGTCATGGCGTGCGCATGTTTGCTGTCTCCTCTCTGGGGCTGGTTCCCCTGCCCTCCCAGTGCTCAGCTTCCCGCGGCGGCGGCTCAGGGCAGGTTCCTGCTCCTTCTCTACAGAGAGCAGCTGGGGAGCTGACTCTGACTTAGGAACGCTGCCTGTGGGCTTTGTTTCCAGCCCTCTCAGAGTCACAGGGAAGCTGGCACCAGAGGGAGAGCCTTGGCCTCTTGTTTGTCTCCAGCCCGAGCCAGCGGTGTGGAAAGAGGTCGGAGGGCCCGGCTCGGGGGTGGGGGGGGGGAGGCAGCAGGCTAGCCGCCCCAGGCTTCTCCTCCGTCCTGGCCCACGTGCGCCCTCGTGCACACGTGCCTCTCGGTGGGGAGGGGAGGGGTTACCATGGGACAGGCCGGGCAGATCACGTTCAAGGCCCTGCCACTGCTGTCGTGGGGAGAATTATGGCCGTCATGACGGGGAGGAGGTGGTATGGGGAGACTGCAGGATCGGGGCACAGGCTTCTGCTGATGTCAGAGCCTGCCACTGACTCTGGGATGGGTGTGGGGTGCTGGTGACCTCCTCCTGGGCCAAGGTTCTCTTCCTCAGCCTTTGCAGGCTGAGCGCCTTGTTAACTCTCACGGTCCCTCTGAGCAGGAAGGTAGGCAGAGAGGTCTGGGAATTCCCTCTGGTTCTGGAAGTCCTCTGTGTCTGGCTTTGCTTTTGGATGAGGGCAGAGCCCCCAAGGGTGGAGACCAGAGGGCACCGCAGGCCAGGAGGGAAGAGATGCGGCCCAGGCCGTGCAGAGTGCTGGACAGGAAGGCCCAGGGCCGGGGAGGGAGGACCCCACTCATTCACTCAACAATCCTTTGATGAGTGTCCACTGTGTAGCTCTACAGTTACAGGGGAAAACGAACCATGTGACCCCCTATGGGGAGCTGTAGGGCAGATGAGGAGGTTCAGAAGTACAGAGGAGGGAGCACCTGACGACACAGGAGGAGGAAGGGGGTGCTTCTGGGGGGAAGTCAGATTAGGAAGGAGTCAGCCAGGTGGGAGAGGGGCTGGGGGCCAGGCGCTCCAGATAGAGCATGGAGTGGGTGGTGGGGGGTGGTGGTGGAAATCTGAGGGGTGCTCAGCTGTGGAATGTCCGTAGGGCGCGGAGGGAAGTCAAGGCTGGAGAGAGAGGCAGAGGTCAGAGCCAGCTGGGTGGGCATGGGAAGATTCCTCCGCAGGTTCCCGGGAAGCAGAGGCTGGGAGTTGAGGAGGGGACCTGGAGCTGGTGTGGCCCGGCCCCGAGGAGGTGAGTACTGGGCATCGCCAGCGGCCTTTGACCTTGGGCGTGTGGGGAAGCTGTGGACTGGAGGGCAGAAAGCACAGAGGTCAAGTTCAGACAGGCTTCCCATCCCACTCCCACCACTTACTTTATGGTTGGGAGCCCCTCACTTCAGTCTGAACTTCCTCATCTATAAAATAGAGTATGTTTTCTTTTTCATTTTCTTTTTCTTTGTGTAATCCTCTCAGGGTGGTTATAAGGCTTGAATCAGGTAACAATACATCAAGAGCCCCCAGGACCAAGCCCCGACTTCTCAGCCAGTGTCTGGGCCCTCGCGTCTCCCCCTAGCCACCCTTCTCATCTTGCCCAGCTCAGCGCGCTCCCGAGATGCCCTCAACGTTCAGGGCAGCTCACAGCGTTACTCCCTGAAAGGCTTCCCTTTGGGCACCCCGTCCCCCTACTCTTTAGTTAGAATTCAACACCTTTGGGCCCCCCCGCCCCCGACAGACATTTATCACAGTAACAATAAGACTGTTAGGCATTCCCCACACACACCTTTTTTAAAAGACTGTTTTAAGAGCTGTTTTAGATTCACAGAGAAACTGAGAGGAAGGAACAGAGATTTCCCGTAGACCCTCTGCCCCCGCACCTGTAGATCCCCCCTTTCCGTGTCTGTGAGCTCCATCCGTAAGGCCCTGTAAACGCCATGAGGACTTGGATCCTTTCCAAATTCTTGATTCCCCAGCACTTAGCACAGGGCTAGATAATTAATAGATACTGAATAAATGTTTAGTAAATGATTGGGAAGCATGGAGCCTGGCACTTTGTAGATTATCAATAAGTACTGATTTTCTTCCAGCTCTTCCTTCCTGCTTATAGAGTATATGCTTATTTAATACCTAAAGAGTTTTCCCCCAAAGGGGACATTGTGAGAGGGCAACAGAAAGTTAAGGCAAGTTTAACTTATTGGGCTTGAGGTCATTATGGATTACCTCCCTTCACAGAACATTTTTTTTTTAATACATTTATTTTTATTTACTTATCTTTGGCTGCATTGGGTCTTTGTTGCTGTGCGTGGGCTTTCTCTAGTTGCGGCGAGCGGGGGCTACTCTCCGTTGCGGTGCGTGGGCTTCTTATTGCGGTGGCTTCTCTTGTTGCAGAGCACGGGCTCTAGGCACGCGGGCTTCAGTAGTTGTGGCTCGTGGGCTCTAGAGTGCAGGCCCAGTAGCTGTGGCGCACGGGCTTAGCTGCCCCGCGGCATGTGGGATCTTCCCGGACCAGGGCTCGAACCCATGTTGCCTGCATTGGCAGGCGGGTTCTTAACCACTGCGCCACCAGGGAACCCTGGAGAACATTTTATGTAATCCAGCACTTAATTCCTCAATTTGAGTTGGTTGCCGTTCTGTTATCACTCTTTTTTTTTTTGGCTGTGCTACGTGGCATGCAGAACTTCCTCATCCAGGGATCGAACCCACGTCCCCTGCACTGGAAGCACGGAGTCTTAACCACTGGACCGCCAGGGAAGCCCTGTTATCATATTTGTACAGAGGAGACTAAGTGTAAGCTCAGTGAGGGGAGGGAAGGCATCCCATGAGTCTGGGGGGACTCAGCAGATGATAACGGCTGGCGTGGAGCGCTCCTGAGCCAGGGCTGGCTCTAAGCTCTTCACACGTGTTCACTCACTCCTTACCACCACCCAAAGAGCTGGTGCTATTAGATCCCCATTTTACAGACAAGGAGCTGAGAGGTGCCACTGGACCAAGTTCGGAGAGCTCTGAAGTGAAGAAACCGGGACGCACAACCTGTGCTCTTCACCTTTTTTTTTTTTCTTATTGAAGTACAGTTGATTTACAGTGTTGTGTTAGTTGCTGCTGTACAGCAAAGTGACTCAGTTATACATACATATATATATATCCTTTTTCATATTCTTTTCCATTATGTTTATCACAGGATATTGAGTATAGTTCCCTGTGCTCTACAGTAGGACCTTGTTGTTTATCCATTCTCTGTATAATAGTTTGCATCTGCTAATCCCAAACTCCCACTCCATCCCTCTCCCACCCGCCTCCCCCTTGGCAACCACAAGTCTGTCCTCTATGTCTGTGAGTTTGTTTCTGTTGCGTAGATAAGTTCATTTGTGTCATATTCTAGATTCCACATATAAGTGATATATGGTATTTATCTTTGTCTGGCTTACTTCACTTAGTATGATAATCTTTAGGTCTATCCATGTAGCTGCAGATGGCATTATTTCATTCTTTTTTACGCCTGTGTGCTCTTCACGTTTTAAAATCTCCTGTTTCTCTCTGAAAAGCAGGGCCCATATTTGCCTCTCATGCCTGACAAATCTCAGGGTGATGCTCAGCATGCCCAGCTATCCCCTTACACTGGTTCCCTTGTCCTCGTCTGCCTGTTTCCAGCAGGTGAGCCAGGGACGTTGGCAGGGGCCACAGTTAAAGCTCTCTGTCTTCTGTAATAGCCTAACCAGAAGAGCAAACTGAAGGCAGGTGGGCTGAGTTGAACTTCCCAGAGATTTTATTTGACCTGCACACTATTTTTAGAAAATTTTGAATTAGTTGCCAACACAAACTGTAGGGACAGAAAACAGATCAGTGGTTGCCAGGGGCTGGGGAAGGAGGGAGAAGTTAAATTCACAGGGGCAGGGGTGATGGTGATATAACTATATGCAGTTGTTAAAACTCACAGAATTGTACACTAAAAAGAGTGAATTTTACTGTATGCAAACTTATTCGTCAATAAAACTGGGTCTTAGGGATGAATTCCCAGGCAATCTGGGTTTCTGACCTTGGATACGGCCAGCACTGGGCCCTCTCTCTTCCTTGTGGTTCTAGCTGCTGGCCGGCTGGTGCTCTGACACCACTCAATGCTCTGTGTTTCCAGAGCAGCAGCATTTGAGACCATTTTCTACCCCTGGGTCCTGCAGCAACCGCTGCTGAATGTCTGAAGTTAGGGGGAAAAAAAATTTTTTTTTTTTTTAAAGGAGAATAGGTACAAAATAGGAGGTTGAGAAGAGGCAAAGCAGTGAAGTGAGACATGAGAAAAAAAGAGGACTTGATTTTATTTTCTGCTCCCAAGGAGCCCTGGCAGAGCTGGAGGAGTAGACAGCTAGGGGAGTGTGAACCAGGGTGGACAGCCCCAGAGCTTTGGGACAGGTAGGTACGTGCCATTTTCTAGGGTGGGTTTCCTAATTCTTTCAGGCTAGGAGGTCTTGGGTCACTTAACTAGATACAAAACCTGCTTCGCTGGCAAAAGCAAGCACCCATGAAGCAGTCTCTTGCTCTTTATCCCCAAAGGGGTAATATGCAAGGTGGAGGTGGGGCACTGCAGTTGGAACACAGACTGAAGAGTATCTGTTGCCTCCAGCAATCCTGACAAGTCCTCCCCCACCCCCAACCCCGTTTCCCTGGGATGCTCTTCCAGACGTTGGCGCACCAATCATCTCCAGACTCTTCATGCCTGGGGGGCTGTGGTCTCCCGTGAGGGCAGTAAGAGAACATCTCCACGTTCAGTATAAGGATCTCTGCTAATCACTCCACTCCGGGATGCTCGGTGAGTCCTGCCGTCCTCATCCTTTGAGGCATTACTGGTCTCTGAAGCATCTTATCTGACCAGCCTGAATTCACTGCATTCCCCATCCATCCATCTGTCCATCAACCCATCCTTCAACCCCAAAAATATGTACTGAGACTTGATATATGCCCGGTATCATCCTAGATGTGGGACTACAGGAGTGAACATGACAAAAATTCTGTCCTTAAGGGTTTACATTCTAGTAGGGGAGTGGAGCAGACAGTAAAGAAGTGAAACTTATGTTGGATTGCGATACTTGCTCTGGTGAAAAGCAAAGCTGCCGAGGATATAGGTGGGGGGAGGGGGGAGGTGTGCTATTTAAAACAGGTCGTGAGGGAAGGATTCTTGCAGTTATCTGGGACAAGTATGTCCTAAGCAGAGAGAACAGGAAATTCCGGCCTCGTCCAGAGCCTGCTGCATCTGCTCTGCCTGCTGGCCTGCACCGTCTGCCGTCTGCACCTCGCTCTGCCTGACCTGCCACCCATACTCCTGTGAGCAAAACTGAGGCCACTCTCCAGCCATCACATCTGTGTCATACCCCTGGGGCTCATGCTGATGTGGCATCCCTGAGAAGCCCTGCACAATGGCAGCGTGAGGGCATCTGGTTCTGCTAAGTATCCAGGGCCTGTTGGGAGTTTATCCGAGCAGGGTGGGAGAGCAGATACTGTGGCTTAAATTCAGCCGACAACATGTGACGTAAGGTCAAGGGCCAAGGAAAGGGGAAAAGAACAGCTGGGAGAGAGAGAGGCTGCTGTACCCAGTTATATCAGAATAAAGATCGCCAGGAAAGGGGCTGCAGTAGATCTTCCTTGTTTGTTTGTTTTCCTTGAAAGTGGTCTCATGGGAACCTCTACTGGAAGAAACTATTAAAGACAAAACAAAGGTATAGAACTGAGATTGATTCTGAAGCCTGATTAACAGTAGAGGAGTACCCGCAGTGGTCCAGGAAAAAAGCACGATTTCAGTACCTGCAAAAAGCCTGGACTGGGCAAAGCTGAGGGCAGGCTCTGAGCAGCAGGGAGACAGAACAGGAGGGAAGCAGGGAGTCTCATTCCATGCTTCAGCTCTCTTTGCTGCTGCCTGTGTGACAAAGGTCTAAAGGCAATATGTTATTACGCATAACAACTGAAGCCCAGCTATGGCTTGGAAATTCCTGAACTACTGTGGAAATTCTCTCCTTTGAATCATGACTCTTTTGATTGCATTTGGAATTCTGTTTGAAGGAGGTTGAAAAGACGAGTACAGTGAATCCGAATCTCTTGAAGGTGCCGGATATTCTGAAACAGTGGTGCTCAGAAAAAAGCAGAATGCTTACAGAATGCTGTAATTCTGCTCTCAAAGAACATCTTCTTGTAGTGAAAGTTAGCCACCTCTTCCACAAGTCTCTCCTTTGTGGGGAAGTTAATAACAAATTCCGGCTATTCAACAGTAAGGTTAGAGATGAAACACACTAGATAAATCATTAAGTGCGACGGTTCTTCACAAATTAGCTACCTTGAAACCAACCCAATGATGAATAGCTCAGAAGTCTGCATTTGGCGCAGTTTTAAAAACACCTGAGCTCATAAAATGTGGTATGTTTAATACTATAAAATAACTCAAACATAGGAATTGGCTATAAATATCTTCCCTGCAAAGAATGTCTTTGCTCAACAGACTATAAAATAAGTATCTGGAATAGTTTTACAGTTAAAACTGAGAATCAGGGAGGAAAAGTGACTTGCTTGAGCCCAAGGTGCTAGAGAGAACAGAGTCCAGGTTTCGGAAAGTACAGCCTCTTACGCTTCCTGTGTGATCAACATCATTCCAGAAAAGGGGCATCACTTGGCTTGGCTGAGAATAACCTAGATATATCAGTCACTGCAACACGAATTTATCTGTGCTTTTTGATCACAGCATAGGAGGCTCAAGACTCAATCCAAAGGACTAGAAAACCTAACGAAATTAACAATACTTAGAGAAGTCCTTATGTGGATCTCAAGGGAACGCAGCTGGGATAGCTGTTGGTGAAGCAAACAGCTGCTTCTCAAACAAACAAACACCAGCTTCTCTTATTATCAGTAAGTGCAAAACTTCACGGAGAGAGCCCTCCTCAAGCCTGAAAACTTGTTTTTCTTATCAGAAAAAAACCATGACAAGGGGAGAAAGGAGGACCCACAGGATATCTGGTATGAAAATATTCCTTCATAAGTAACTAGTAGGTTGGAATTGTGACAGAAGGGAGATCCCAGCATGTGTGTGTATGGACTGCTTATACCTTTGAGAGCAGAAATTTAATGACTATTCACTGAAGGCAACTCAAACTTGGGAAATAATAACATTGCAATTTTGAGATTCATATTTTATTTACAAGCAAATGAAGAATATTCCCTGTAACCATTAATTTGGGGGGAGAAGAGCAATATAAAGAAGTAGTTGCTGGCTCCACAGTGACGTGTGAAAGGAGTCCATGCCACTGTTTCTTTAAATGATTTTGTTATTAAAAAAACCGAAACAAAACGCACAATTTCTTCATGTTGCATATGTGAAAGAATTCCAAATAAAAACGACTTTTCAAAGCTCTGCAGTCTCTCGTCAAATGTGTCACTTGGTTTGGTGACAGCCCCTGCTCCCCAAGAGCTACAGCCTCTGAGCAGAAGACTTAATACTCATCAAGAGTATCTGCTCGAGGGATAGACAGGCCTCGATCCTTCAGGGCCTGGACTTTCAACTTCTCAGCTTCCAGCTTGGTCTGCTGTTCCACCCTCTGTTCTTCTAGGATTTCTTCAATAGACACTTGCTGGAGGGGTGTGTCACTCTCCTTTTCTAAGTCCTACAAAACAAGCAGGTTTGGAAAACTTCACCTGATAACCAAGAATAGAAAACATCATAGATCTAAAGGCAAACCAGTTCCTAAATGGATTCCTATATCCAGCTTGGGTTATTTTTTGTACTTGAGATAGGGCAGAAATATCCTATGGACAGATAAATTTGACAAAGAAATGGCTGGCAATGCTCCTATAGAACACATGTGAGTGTGGTTTAACAGGAATCAGTATCGGCATGTATAACAAAGCTTTTGTGTATCCGAAGTCCTACATTAGACAAGTACTCCTTCTCTTAAAAAAAAAAAAATATTAGGGCTGCTTACGGCTATTTCCCCAGCCCCAGGGAATCCAAGAAAGAAGGTACTGAGGTCAAGATGGCTTAAAATAAATTTTGTATTTATACATGATCAAAGTCAGCCTAATTTCTGGGGGTTTGTGCTCAGTAAGAAGGTAGAGAACACTGATTCAAAGTAGCACCACCACCTGCCCCCCCAACCCCCCAGGCCACAGCCGGTCCTGGCTCCTTCCCGGGCTAAAGGCAATAAACTGTCCCTCTGCCGCATTAACCAGGAGTTGTTACATTATAACACAGGACTTCTTCCCCCTTCATGGCAACAAGTCTTCTAGAGAAAACCTCAGCAGACCAGTTAGGTTACTATGCCATTTTGGCCCCAATGTATTTCTCGCAAATATTGGCTACTTTTCCCACTTAATATGGCATAATATGCTTAATATTTTTATTTTTGAACACCTTCTAAACATCTGATAACCAATTTTATAATGCAGAACCTTGCTATAAAATTATCTATCTACAGGGCTTCCCTGGTGGCGCAGTGGTTGAGAGTCCGCCTGCCGATGCAGGGGACACGGGTTCGTGCCCCGGTCCGGGAAGATCCCACATGTCGCGGAGCGGCTGGGCCCGTGAGCCATGGCCACTGAGCCTGCGCATCTGGAGCCTGTGCTCCGCAACGGGAGAGGCCACAACAGTGAGAGGCCCGTGTACCGCAAAACAACAACAAAAACACACAAAAAAACAAAACAAAACAAAAAAATTATCTATCTACAGACTCAGTTCACTCTCCTTAAGATGAGTATACAGGTGTCACTCTGTGTTTTAGTAACATGGAAAGCCTATACCGACAGGGCATTCTTATTTCTCATCCTCCTCTCTGACTTTTAATTATAAAATTCTGGGAAGGCATCAACACATACACAAACTCTCCAGACGTTCCAGCCGACCACTGGATACTTATCTTCAGATGCTGCTAAGGCCTCGGGACCCGCAGGCAGTGACACAGCAGATGGAGGACTCTCACCAGAAAGGTTAGAATGAAAGCCACATAAATTACATAAGCAAGCCCTGCCCTGGGTCAAAAGTTAACTGCATCCAGCAAAATATTATCAAGTGTAATCTTCCCTCACAACCCATGGGCAGCAGGAGGGAAGATAATGTTCTTGGCTTAGTGTACTACTTCTTGGGCTTTTCAATATTATGTGCTGAGCTGTTCATGTGGTTATGATAATGCTGTTTCCTAACAATCAGCTTATTACTTAAGGCTGTGTGTCTCATCATCCTTGAGGTAGAACCCAGGGACTCTGCAAACAACTGAATGTTTACAGAATCCAAATGGCTTCTAGGTTTGAGTTTTCCTAGAATTGGTTCATAACGTCTTCAAACTGACTACCGATTCATAGAACTATGTGAGCATTTCCTGAACCATATTTCTTTAGTGGTACCACTATAAGAATTCTGCAGCATCCAAACCATAACATACAAAAAAAAGAGCACTTTTCTCCTCAAAAGGGCTCCCAGGAAACAATGAAGCTTCAAGAATAAACACAAGTTCACTTCTCTTCACATACATCTACACAGGGGCATGTTTATGCCAATGTAACTGGCACAGAAAGCATGGATGTGGTGTTTACTACTGTACAACTGAAGCACAGTATGCGTGGATATTTTAACTTAAATCTTTCCCCCCACAGCAAAGTAATACATTTCCTCTTTAAAACAAAGAGGTGACAATTCCCGCTGCTTAAACATACACTGAAACCAAAAATATCAACCACAACTATATTTTTAAAATTAGAAAAAGTTATTTCATAGCAATACTTGGACAGTATTGATTAGTTGTTTCTAGCTGTTAACGACATGAGGTCTCTGAATGAACATGACCCTGGCAAAATTACCTCCTTACTTTGTCAAATGGTCTACCATTAAAAACAGCTACGGACCAAACTACTTCACTCCAAAGACTCCTGTAAACGTGATTTAAGATGTGGCTAGGGATTGGGAAACTTTACTGAAAACTTTAAAGATAAAATCAAGCAAACACCAAGGTTTGATTTTCCTGGAAAACCCAATAATCAGAAGCATGAGGATCGAGTCAAAGGTATTAAATAAAGTACTTTTCTTTTAAAGTAAATGTGTCTCATGTAAAATGTGAAATCAAGTTTTATTTTCTTTAAAAATGTCTGAGTACTTCTAATATATATTTTGGGCGAAGAGTTTTCTAATAGTTCACATACATAGACATATAGACCTACAGTAACACCACTTTAGAGGATTTAATTTTTCACCTGCCAGCTGGCTTTCCTGACAACAGATAACAGGTACCTCTCCTCCTTGGCTGGGAGCTAAGTATGCAAGTGAAGTTGAGCCCATCCTCGGAAAGTTAACAGAAAGGCTTCTTCTGCAGCCATTCTTTCCCCTCCCCGCTTTAAAAAACATAGATATCGCACTGTATATGCAGTGTGTCTTTCCCCCAAACACCACTAATAACCTTTATGTCATGAAAAACCATTTGTAAACAATTATTTAAATGACTGCAAAATATTCCAGTGTTAACAAGCCACATTTCATTGAATTATTCTTCTCCTGTTAGATATCAAGCTTCAATTTTCTGCTATTAGAGATACAATAACAACATACTAACGAACACATTTGTGTGGGACAGTATTTACATATATATATTTTTATATATATATATCTATGGCTGCTCCGTGTGGCTTGTGGGATCTTAGTTCCCCGACCAGGGATTGAACCCGGGCCCTTGGCAGTGAGATCGGGAGTACTAACCACTGGACTGCCAGGGAATTCCCATGTAGGACAGTATTTTTTATGGTATCAGGTAAAAATCAATGGTATTTTGCTGCTAATGGGATCAAAATCTTTAAAATGCCAGGAGGCACTGAAACAAAGTTAATTGCTCTCTGTAGCTTTCCTTTTACAATGTAGCTTTCCTAAGCTAATTGGGTGGTTTCCTTGAGAAGCTGGGTGAAGGTGGAAAATATATTTTTTCCTTCTTGAAAAGACAAAAAAGAAACCTAACTGGCATGATTATCAAGAGCCATAGCAGCTTAACAGTTTTCACTTACTATTTCTCCTAGTAGGACCACATTTTCTCCTCTGACCACAAAAATCCCTCGAGGAATATCACCGTATTTTTTGCCCACATGAATACGCTCCACAGTCTGATGTAGCACTAAGTTAGCTATAAGTGTACAGGGAAGAAACAAAGATATTTAGTTCAAATTACTTTATAGGTAAAGGTCCATTACTCAATTAATCAGTTATTTTGAGTAGAAAAGATTTAGCTGTACATGACTTTCAAACTTTCTAGTTCTGGAAAAAGCTAAAATTTCAAACAATCTCTTCCTATTACATTGAGACAAACCACTTAGGAGACTTTTAAACAACTGCAAACTGAGAGAGTATTTGGGATTATGTTGCACTAATAAGGAGGATGGTGGAAATAAATGAAGAAAATTAAATTCCTTATGAGTTAGTTGCTAATATCAACATGGCTATAAGAAAATATAAATGACAGGGCACTTGGAAAACTCTAAAGCCCAAACAACTGCAGAAATTAAAACTCTGGGTTTATTTGGAAGGAAAACGTTTTTCTATGTTGCGTGGGTATGTGTGTGTGATGATTTACCGAAGATTTAACTTTGTTTCAGTACTTAGGATTCATTTAACCCAATGTAGGTACTCATGGATTACGATATAACGGTAACCTATTTTTTCCCTTTGTCAGATAACCATAATCTGGTAATGTGAGAGTAAAGCCACTATTTACCACTTTTCCCTCATGTAGTCTGATGAATTTGACTTAAGGTTTAGAACCACAATCTGTGAAGAATAATTCATTTTCCTCTTCCAATTGGTGCTGTTTGTCTTACGTGAAGAAATGCGGTATCTGTGCTCTTATCGTCTATAATTCTTACATGTGTTTCAATTATGTTGTTTTTCCTCAGGCCCAAAGCCACTGACCTATGCAGATGTCCAGCAAATGCTGATATGAACTGAGAAGTTCCTTAAGACAGAAGCAAATATAAGGTCTCTTTAGAAAAATGCAGGAGGCAAAACCAAGACCAAGACCTTGAGTCTAATGTATCCCAAGGTATAAAATCCTGAGCTTAATGTTGGGGGTCCCTAAAAAGCTTCAGCAAAGGCCTCTGACCCACTTTTCATTGGACAGGGAGGGATTACCTTCAGGGCAGGAACTGCTTTGAAGAGTAGTCGCACCCAAGCCAATGTACAAATGAGCAGCTTTTTCAGTGGACTGAGTTTATTTCTATCATCTGGCTCCCTCTAATGGGGAAAATAAAAAATAGTCCAAAACACTGTCAGCGCATGTTCTAGTGAAAACCAGTTTTAGAAATACAAGCTTGTAAACACAAGCTTTTGAACCACCTAATTGTAATTTAGAAAACAATGATGTAATGATTCAAACCAATATTCTATTATGCCAGACACGTGAAAAAAGTTGCAGACAAACTTCGATATGAAACAACACAAAAATACAGTGGGCAGCTCTTATTATCCAGAGTACAGGAGAAGTCCGTGACTAATACGTACCAAATTGATCAATGCTTCTTAAAAAGCCTATAAGCGTCCTTCCATCTCGAAGCAGGACCAAGTGCTTTTCTGGGGAGAGGAAAAAAGATCTTTAAAAAATGCACTGTTGGGACTTCCCTGGTGGTGCAGTGGTTAAGAATCCGCCTGCCAGTGCAGGGGACACGGGTTCTAGCCCTGGTCCAGGAAGATCCCACATGCCGCGGAGCAACTAAGCCCGTACGCCACAACTACTGAGCCTGTGCTCTAGAGCCCGCGAGCCACAACTACTGAAGCCCATGTGCCTACAGCTCGTGCTCTGCAACAAGAGAAGCCACTGCAATGAGAAGTCCATTAGCCTGTGAGTTTACAGGGTAACAACAAAAACAAAGTTCATAGCAGATTAAGCTCTACTACTTCTTCCAGTGTATTTAAGGCAGAGTTCACTGAGGAATTAGAGGGATGACCCCGGCAGCACGGTGTTTAGATGAGAAGACTGGTGATGGAAGAATCTGAGGAGGCGGCAGAGTGGGGAAGGACTGGGCACATAGTCAGGGGGCCTGACCGACTGGTTCTAGATGCTGATGCTTGACAGTTAAACCCTCTCAGTGTCATGTCAGTTTCCATACCTGCAAATTTGGAAATTGAATCTAGGTGATCTTTATGATCTTAATTCAAGAATTATTTTCCCCTCAACCGAGATGGAGAGCTGCTATTTCAAACTCTGGAATCAGGGAAGGTTTTAAATAAAATAAATACCTCAGACATGCAGAATGAGGACACTGATAATAAAACTAGAGCAAAAGTTCAATAAAATTTATGGAGAGCTATGTGCTGTTCTGGGGCCTAGATATAGAGTAGAGCAGGGGTCCCCAACCCCTGGGCTGTGGACTGTTGTCCGAGGCCCGTTAGGAACCGGGGCCGCACAGCAGGTGAGAGGTGGGCAAGTGAGCGAAGCTGCATCTGCCGCTCCCCATGGCTCCCCACAGCTCGCATCGCCGCCTGAGCTGTCCCCCACCCCGCCACCCAGTCCGTGGAAAAACTGTCTTCCGTGAGACCGGTCCCTGGCGCCAAAAAGGTTAGGGACCGCTGCGGTACAGAATAACATTTAGAGTCACCAACCTTATGGAACTTATATTCCTGGTGGGGAAAGTCAAACAAATTTTTAAAAATGCCCTATAGCGCGTAGTCTAGCGGAATAATAAACAAGATAGCAGAATGAGAAAAAGAGGGGAAGAAGCTACTGAAGAGAGGGTGGCTAGGGAAAAGCTCTCTGAAGAGGTGACCCTGAGCTGACACTGAAGAATGATAGTCAGCCCGTCACTAGAATAGGTAGCCAAAGTCATTCATTTGTTCCTTAATGCCACAGATAAAGTACTTTCTAGATGCAGAACAGAGGAACAAGACAGTGATTCTTTCCTGAAGGAATTTATAGGCTTTCTGGGTCTATAATTAAGCACCGCAAGAGAGCAAATCTTAATTATGTGAGACTGAGAGAAACTGTATCTAGCTGGAGCAGGTATCTGAGTTGGACATTTTTGGCCATAGGAAGAGTGACAGGGAAAGGGAAGAGGAGGGAAATCTGTAATTGAGGCAGAAGAAAAAAGGGCTATGTATCCAAATGTCTGGCGAAAAGTTGAGGGTGTGAAGGGAAATAACAGGAGATGAAGTCAGAGAAGTCCTGGGAGCAGAGGCTGAGTCTGGATGTGACTTTCCTGGGAGCAGAGGCTGAGTCTGGATGTGACTTTCCTGGGAGCAGAGGCTGAGTCTGGATGTGACTTCACAGGGAACAAGAAAACTCTGAAGATTAAACTGGCAGAAAAGAGAGAACGGTTTTGAGGCTAGACCCAGAGTCTGAGACATGAAGAAGAGACCTGAACCAGGGGAGAGATGGGAAGGGACAGGATGGGAGGACCAAGACACTGCAGTTATAAGGGATGGGATTTGTCAGCCAAGTGTGTTTGTATATGTGGGTATGTGTGAGAGAGTGGGGTGCTGAAGAGATGAGTTAAAGAAGATGTAGGAATTCTGAGTCATCATGTCAGGGAGGACCATTTACCAAGAGCTGGGAGTAAAAGAAGCAAGCTCAGTGGAAGATGATTAGCTGTAGTGATTCTGAAGTGGTATCAGGACACCTATGTAGAAATGTCAACTGGCAACTGGAGATGTAAGACTGGCCAAAGAAGTCAGGATCGCAGCAGTTTTTGAATAAGTCCACAAAGAGGTGATATAATAATTAAAGTCCAGGAGCCCTCCTAGAGATTTAAAGAAAGAAGCAAGCCAAAGATGGGACCTAAGTGTCCATCTATTTTAGGGAACAATAACGGTTGCAGAGGTAAGAAAATCAAGTACCAGTGTTGGAGAAATCAAGAAAATGAAGAATCCCGTGGTAACGTTATCACAGTGTTGCAGAGGAGACGGAAGAGCTCGGAGAAGTGCATCAGAAGGTGTCTTTAAGACTGCAGTTTCAGTAGTGTGTTGACAAAAGAAATCAGATTGCAGGGGTAATAGAGGTAGGTGGTCTACTGCAGGTGGTCAGGAAGTAGAGTTAAAATGGGAGACTACTCAAGAGGTTTGGGGGTAAAGATGTGAAAAAAGGGATAGGAATTTGATGGTGAAACACAACTAAGAAAAAATTCGACAGACAAGAACATACATGAAGGGGAGGATTCAGAGCGGGAGCGAGAGAGGATATGAGAGCAACAGGATATTAATGGAAGAAGGTTCCAGAAGCAGTGGAAGGAAAGAAATAAGACACAAACTGAAAGGGAGGAATACTTCCTATTCAAATGAGAGGATGGGTGAAAATACAGAAAGACTGAGGAGAGGAGAGTGTCTGAATGTCACAGTGAAGGGTGCATATGAAATGGTTTCAAATCTTTCAGTAAAGGAGGAGCTTGGAATCTGCACAAAAGGGGTTAGAGGCTTGAGAAAAGCAATTATTTTTAGTAGAATGGCAGGATGTGTTAGGGGCCTCAAATAATTCAGATACATAACAAGAGAGGTGAGGGCAAAAGGGCATCCTCAGATAACTAAGACTGAGGATTTCATCACCCATTACAGACAGGCTTGTACAGTGGTTATTCATACATGACTTTGGTCCAACCTACATTTCCCTTCAATAGCAAAATCACTAATTTGGATCTAAAAAGTGATTTCAAACGACAGGAAGAGAATTTAATCATAAACTCACTCTTTAATTTACATACATAGTAACTGTTGAGATTCCTGTAACTTGTTTGGAACTGTGTGTAAACCGTTTTGCAGCAATTACAAGTTAATGAGACAGATCACACGATTGAGACTTTAAAAATGTTTAAGGAATAATTCACAGATGAGAGTTTGGAAAAAGGAAAGACAACTGTACAGAAGTGAGCTCCTCTTCAGGACAGTGACTAGGAATAAGGGAGCTCTTAATAAATGCGAGAGAAAACTGTCTAACAGAAGAAAAAAGTAAGTTTGAAGTGAGTGACTCAAGTCTTTCTGGAAAAAGCAATACCTGGTCCGGCAGTGGTCTCCATTACCATAACCCTAAAGTCTAAATACCCTCAACGGTAAAAGATTGCAAACGGCCACACAGCATAAATCCTATGTTTAGTGCTAATTAAGTCCAACTGCTGTTGTATTACTCTTTTCGTTTCTTGAAGAATCCTTTCTCTAAGAATTCTCATTCATCCACCAGTAACCACCTGGTACTTCGAAATGCCGCAGGTGGGAGATGATGCACCGGGGAGGCGGCCAACTTTCACACTTGGGCCTCAGCAGCCGCATCCCTGAAAAGCAGAAGTGAATTCTACAGCTTGCCCGGGGGCCGGTGAAGGCTGCGAGAGACAGGATACAGGGAGCAGGCTAGGAGGTGGGCAAACTGTGTGTCCCGTGGCTCCTGCATCCTGTGGAAGATGCCAAGGCCGGACGTCCAGAACCTTACTAAAAACACACCGCCCCCAGCCCAGACTCATTTTATGAGCTCCCTCCTAAGAGGCACCCTCCTGGGAAGAAGGGTCTCACCCCAGACTTCACTCGGAGGAGACGAACTACTCACTGTCGATGTCCTCGATGAGGCTGGCGGTGCCGGGCATATAGTTCATTTTGAGTTGAGATAAGGCTGCAATGTATAGTGGCGGTGGGCCAGCGCGTCCAACACGTCCTTCCTCCTATCGCAGTCGCCGCCTCGGCGGGACCGGGACAGGAATCCGGACCCGGACCAACTCCTCGCCCCGGCTTTCAGTAGCCGGGGCCTGCCGGAAACGCCACCATATTACCCCCACCCACTTCCGGCATCACGTGCCCGTCCTCAAGAAGAGGCGGGGCCGTAGCGCGGTCCTGGGATACGCTTTCCGCAACCCTGATAAGAGGGGAAGAGGAATCTAGATTGGATAGACAGTGGGGAAAAGTGTTTTCCCTTTTAAAGGAACACGGTGCCGCCCCTCGCTTTCCTGCTTCCCAGACCCCAGATCCACGGACCTCCGTCCTTCCTCTCTCAGGACGCGGAAGCTGAGGGGGCGGGACCCGGCCTGGGATTGGCTGTTGCCGGCCGACTACCCCTTCCCTGCGGTCCAGTCGCGCTCCCCCGCAGGCGCCTGCGCAATGGGCCGGCCTTGGGGGGCGGGAAGCGCCCGGGGGCAGTGGAGCCGATGTCGGCCTTGAGGCGCTCGGGCTACGGCCCCAGTGACGGTCCGTCTTATGGGCGCTACTACGGGCCTGGGGGTGGAGATGTGCCCGTGCACCCACCTCCGCCCATATATCCTCCCCGCCCCGAACCCCCCCAGCCTCCCATTTCCTGGCGAGTGCGCGGGGGCGGCCCGGCTGAGACCACCTGGCCGGGAGAAGGCGGAGGAGGCGATGGCTACTATCCCTCTGGAGGCGCCTGGTCGGAGCCGGGTCGGGCTGGAGGAGGCCACCAGGTAAGCTTTGCGCCATCTGTCCCAGGGGGGTCCGACAGGGTAGTCTTTGGGGGGTGAGGGCCATTGGGATTGATACACTTCCAAGAGTTTGTAATGAATCGTGTTTCCTGTGTTTTCCTTAGGGGGTCTTTGGAGAGACAGAGACTAAGATCGCGGGTGGGGGGGTTGTGTTCTCTTTGCCCCTCGTCTTCTGCTTCAACCATAATAAATGTCTTACCATGAAAGGAGGAAAGAAGATCCTGCGCTGACCTGCGAAGCTGAGTAGCAGGCTGCGAATCTCTTGCCTGGGGACGAGGTTGGGCTGGTGTGGCCCGGCTCTTGCTTTTCGAGTCCTAACAATTTTTCCTGCGTGGCTCGTCAGGTCGGCTCTCCCCGAGGAGAGAGGTGGCTGCAGCCTCCTCCGTCACTCAGCAACCCCTCCCGCTGGGAAGGAACGTGAGGGAAGGAGAGGGAACTGGGCATTTAGCCCTTTGCCCCTAAAGCTCTGCCCCGCATTGGATCACGGATAATCAGTGTAGGAAAGCACCTTTACTTGGATTGTTTTATTTCATCTTAACGGTGACTGCAACGTAAGTGTCATCACAGCGTTCCTATTTTACGGTGAAAGAACTGCTGGCTGTGAAAGGTTAACTCGCTTACTCAGTATATTCGGACCTTTAACATTTTATTCTGTGTCGTCGTGCCAGAAATATACTTCTGTTTTGTTAATGCAATATTCTTCGTAGAGAATTATCGTTATACGGTGGGGGCATACGTCTCCTTTGCTTCAGGAATTATAACATCCTCATTGGTTGAAAATGTGATAATGAAATTTCTAAACATTGCTGGTGGGAATGTAAAATGGTTCAATGGTTTTGGCAGTTGCTCAAAACGTTAAGCATACTGCTAGGATATTACTCAGCAAGTCTGCTCCCAGGTATACACCCAAGAGAACTGAAAACACGTCCACATGAAAACTTGCACACGCATGTCCATAGCAGCGTTATTCATCATAGCCAAAAAGGGAAATATCCCAAATGCTCATCAACTGAAGAACTGATAAAATATGGTATATTCATACAATGAAATTGTTTAACCATAGAAGGGAATGAAGTACTGAGACATTCTACAAATGGATGCACCTTGAAAATATGCTACATGAACGAAGACAGTCACAAAGGCCAAATATTGTATGATTCCATTTATATGAAATGTCCAGAATAGGCAAATCTGTAGAGACAAAGATTTGTCATTGCCAGGGGCTGGGGGCCTGGGGACATTGGGGAAGATAGATAAAAGGTATGGGGTTTCCTTTGGGGAAGATGAAAATATTCTGGAATTAGTGATGATGATGATTGCACAACTCTGAATATACTAAAGACCATTGAATTGTACACTTTAAAAGGTGGGTTTTATGGTATATCTTTAAAAATTGTATGAGTAAAAACATGTAGTGAGAGGTTAATTGTGAAGAAAGGTCCATAATTTCTGTCTAAATGTGGAATAAGTAGCCGTGGGACTTCAGCCCCATGACAGAGTAGAAAGATGAAATGCTTAGCGTATAGGTAGGCAAACTAGACCGAGGCTCACTTGAAGGGAAAGGGGAAGGACTGCTGAACTGACGACTGTCCGGGCTTGCTATGTCATCAAAACAAAAGTGTGTTTTCAGGTTAAGGTTAGAGAAGTTAAGATCTTAACATTGTGCAGGGAGTTGTCAGGTATTGGTTGAGTACAGGTGTGCACACAGGGTGGGTGATGGTGCTGGAGGGATTGGGCTTAAAGCTGGAATGTGTAATGGGCATTTGTAAACCATTTCAAGAGTCTGTCTTTCAGGGTGACGTTTCTGAAACTTGAAAAGTGTTGGATGATAGGTTTTTTTACATTTTAAATATTTATTTATTTATTTATTTGGCTGCATCGGGTTTTAGTTGCAGCACGTGGGATCTTTAGTTGCGGCATGGGGGATCTGGTTCCCTGACAAGGGATCGAAATCCGGCCCCCTGCATTGGGAGCGCAGAGTCTTAGCCACTGGACCACCAGGGAAGTCCCTGGATGATAATTTCTTATGCAGCAATAGGAAACTAATAAAAAAGATAAACATGTTGTCACATGTGTTGCAAATTTTTTTTCTAAATTCGTTATCTTTTGACTTTATTGTGGTTTTTGCCATGTAAATTTTACATATTTATATAATAAAACATGTCAGACTTAAAAAAAAAGGTATAGCAGCCTTTTAAAACCTTACTCTTGGAACTCCCTGGTGGTCCAGGACTAAGACTCCACGCTCCCAATGCAGGGGCCTGGGTTCAATCCCTGGTCAGGGAACTAGATCCCATGTGCTGCAACTAAAAGATCCCATGTGCTGCAACTAAGACCTGGCACATCCAAATAAATAAATATTAAAAAAAAAAAATAAAACCTTACTCCTTAAAAAGTGTGGGCCGTGGACCAGAAGCTTCAGTGTCACTTGGGGGTTTGTTAGAAATGCAAAATCTCTCCTGCTCCAGACTTACTGCTGCTGCAGTTTTTTTTTTTTTTTTTTTTCTAAATTACATCCTTAACTTACTCCCAATACTTCTTTTTTTTTTTTTTTTTTTAAATTTATTTATTTATTTATTTTTGGCTGTGTTGGGTCTTCGTTTCTGTGCGAGGGCTTTCTCTAGTTGTGGCAAGCAGGGGCCACTCTTCATTGCGGTGTGCAGGCCTCTCACTGTCGCGGCCTCTCTTGTTGCGGAGCACAGGCTCCAGACGCGCAGGCTCAGTAGTTGTGGCTCACGGGCCCAGTTGCTCCGTGGCATGTGGGATCTTCCCAGACCAGGGCTCGAACCCGTGTCCCCTGCATTGACAGGCAGATTCTCAACCACTGCGCCACCAGGGAAGCCCGCTGCTGCAGTTTAATGAGATCCTTAGGTGATTCATATGCACGTTCATGTTTGAGAAGCATTGCTCGGCAGAATTGAATGTATTGAGATGATGTTGCACTGAACCACTACAAAGGCTTGACTTTATATTAACCTATTTAAATATTGCAGGGGAAAAAACGGAGAACCTCTCCCTGTGTTCTTTCTTTTCTTACCTTGTTAGCTATACTTGCAGCACTGCAGTTTGATTCCTACACTAGCAGCATACGCATCACCTAGGAGCTTGTTGGAAATGCTGTATCTCAGGCTCTGCCCCAGACCTGCCGAATCAGAATGTGCATTTTAACCAGATCCCTGGGGGATTTACGTGTTCCCCCAGAACGAGTCATCTGAGAGAGTGCTGAGATGCAAGCTGGAAGCTGCAGTCTCTTCTAACCTAAGCTCGGAAGTGATCCACCATCACTTCTGCCGTATACTACTGGTCGTGGAGACCAGCCCCAGTACAGTGTGGGAGGCCACTTCACATGTGTGTGAATGCAGGAGGCAGGGGTCTTTGGGAGCCATCTTGGAGGACAGCTACAGTGGGAGGGTTTGGGGAGACAGCTTAGTTAGGCTCCCAATTAGGTCAGAAAAGAAACAAAAAGGGCATGTGTTTCAACAATGCCTGAATGTAGACAGGTTTATTTTCAACATTTTATTATAAAAATTCTCAAACATCTAGAAAAGTTGAAATTGTATGTGAAAACCAATATATCCACCACCTAGATTCTATGGTTAGCACTTATTATGTTTATCACATGTATCTATCTTATTTTTTGGATGTGTTTCAAAACAAGTTACATAGGGGACTTCCCTGGTGGTGCAGTGGTTAGGAATCCACCTGCCAATGCAGGGGACACGGGTTTGATCCTGGGTCCGGGAAGATCCCACATGCCGCAGAGCAACTAAGCCTATACACCGCAACTACTGAGCCCACGTGCCTAGAGCCCATGCTCTGCAACAAGAGAAGCCACTGCAATGAGAAGCCTGGGCACCACAACGAAAAGTAGCCCCCGCTCGCTGCAACTAGAGAAAGCCTGTGTGCAGCAGCGAAGACCCAACACAGCCAAAAATAAATAAATAAATAAATAAATAAAAATAATTGAAAAACATATTTTAAAAAACCAAGTTACATAGATTCGAAAGACATTTTCTTTTTTCTTTTTTTTTTTAAATTTATTTGGCTGCACCAGGTCTTGGTTGTGGCAGGTGGGCTCCTTAGTTGCAGCTCGCCAGCTCCTTAGTTGCAGCATGTGAGCTCCTTAGTTGTGGCATGCGAACTCTTAGTTGCAGCATGCATGTGGGATCTAGTTCCCTGACCAGAGATTGAACCCTGGCCCCCTGAATTGCGAGTGCAGAGTCTTACCCACTGCGCCACCAGAGAAGTCCCTCAAAAAATTTTCAAAGGTGTGTATCAACTGCAAGTGAGGGTTGCAGGAGAAACAGAAGGTAATTCTGAATTTTTAGTATTTCATAGGATTAAAGATTTCATAGGAATGACAAAGAAGAGGAACAGGTTTTTATGGGAAGATATGTATGGTTTAGTTTTTTATATATATAAATTTATTTATTTATTTATTTATTTTATTTTTGGCTGCGTTGGGTGTTTGTTGCTGCACGCGGGCTTTCTCTAGTTGTGGTGAGCGGTGGCTACTCTTCGTTGCGGTGCACAAGCTTCTCATTGCGGTGGCTTCTCTTGTTGCGGAGCACGGGCTCTAGGCACGTGGGCTTCAGTAGTTGTGGCACGTGGGCTCAGTAGTTGTGGCTCACGGGCTCTAGAGCACAGGCTCAGTAGTTGTGGCGCAAGGGCTTAGCTGCTCCGCGGCATGTAGGATCTTCCTGGAGCAGGGCTCGAACCCGTGTCTCCTGCATTGACAGGCGGATTCTTAACCACTGCGCCACCAGCGAAGCCCTGGTTTAGTTTTGTACCAAAAGAACTAGTGATTGGTTAATAGAGGAGCTTAAAAAAAAATACAAAGACTTGCCAAGTGTTTATGTACTGCCTTTATTTCATTTCTGCTGAAAGCCAGTTAGTGACGGTGGTTACTGAGAGCCAAGCTCTTGATGCAATGTATGTGATTGATTAGAGAGACGTCTGTGATTTTCTGTTTTTGTTTTGTG